GTATAAGTTTCAAATTGCTTTCTTGATTAAAATATTCATACCTTAACATATCCGTTTTTCAAAGCATATAGATATATCTAATCATTTACTTAAGGCGTGTCTTTCTTTCCTTTATCAAAGGATCGTAAAAATTTACTATAAGGATCAATTTATTAAATCATCAAAATCTTATTTTCCTTAATTGCCCTTAACATACATATGCCTAGATTGAAAATCAATTATCTAATCTAGCAACTAATTCTCCCTAAATTATCTTATTGGGCTTATTCCGATATAGAGCCCAATTCAGCCTAGAGACCTAATAACGGCGTTCTAACTCGTAGACCGTTATAATTTAGACTTGAGCGGGAGTTCTTAAACTAATACGGGCATTGAACCCGTATCTAATCTTCGTAATTCTAAGGGCCTAAACCATTTGGCTCGTAAGTTTCCGTTCGGATGTTTTTGCTCAAAAACTGTTAAGGTTTTAAAAGAAACCATTATTCGACTTTTATAAAACTGATTGCTTACTTATTTAGTTACAAGTACTAAAATCCTCTCATCAGTCCTAAATGTATTTTCTTTCGAATGCCGACTTCAAAACTGTTTCACAAGTCATTTTACAGTTAGTTTGTAAACTACTGTGAAATTATGTCTTAGAAACCAATTTCTCAAAAACTTTTTTCATAAATATTTTCCGTTACAAAGAGGTCTAAAACCACAGTATTTGACTGAAATCACAAGGGTTCTTTGATGAACTTTTTGTTGAAAATCAAAACTGTTTCAGTTTTGTCCGATTAAAACTGTGCAATTTCAGAAATCTGTATTTTACTATATTTTAGATTCAGATTTTGAAAATATGTTCTCTATGGGAATTCTTCGCCTCATCGGGATCTAAAATTTTCATTTTTAGAGAAAACTGAGATTCGGCCTCTAAAGGGCTTGTTTGGCTGCCACAATGGCTGCTAGTTTTTGAAGCTATTTTTAGACAGTTTTGAGGCATTTTTAAAAATCGCTTAAAACTTGTATTTAGAGTTAAAACTGAGTTTATTCACACTCATAGAAAAATGTTTAAAACATCGAGAACTATAAGCTTAAATTTAGAATAACTGAAAAATCTCGCTCTAGGATCCTTATTTTCGCGTTTAAAGTAACCGAAAAATTTTATCTCTAACCAAAATAAGCAAACTTAAACCAAGCATAAACATACCACATAATATTAATCAACCTAACCTCAAAATACACAAAACTAACAGAAAACTCACACACCCTTATTACAAACCATAGCCTCAAGGAACCACAAATTACATCCATAATTTCAAGCTTAAGGTTGACCAGAAAAATGAAGGAGGAGAGTTCAAGCAATTACCCTTAAAGAACTCTCTTGAAAACCCCTTGAAATCCTCCTCTTCTTCTTCAACTTAATTAGGATTTGTGGTGAGAAAGATGAAAACTTTTGAGAGTATGTGAGCTAGATGGAAGCTTGATTTTTGGTGATGGGAGAATGGAGAAAGTTTTGAGTGTTTGGAGCTTTGGAAGAACTGGTTTTGGCATAGAGAGAATGGAAGAAAAAAAAATGAGAAAACTTGGTGATAGTGGCCGGTTGGTGTTTTTAGAAGAGAAGTAAACGTGCCTTCCAATAAAGTGGGTAATTTGGTTTTATCTCTTTATTAAATTTTCTAGTCCAAATTCATTAACCAAAATTTGCTTAAAACCCCCTTAAGCATGGCCGGCCACTAGGAGAGAAAAGAGAAAAAAAAAAAAGAATATCATGATTACTCTTCACCTACCACTATCTAATCACATCCTATCTTATCTTTGATCTTATCTCCCTAAGATTCCATTAAGCAGTCAAAATTTACACAGACTGTAGCTGATTAACTTAGCCGACAGGAAGTTTTGGTTTCCAACAGTTACTTTTCTACTGTTTATTTATAGCTCAATATTAATCCCTAAGTAATCCAATATCAAATTAAATTCTTATTCGCGTAATATTTCAGACTGTTTTGAGTCTTGAATTTATTTCTAGACTAAATAAATTCTAAACTTAACTTTTTTGTATTATGTCTCGGAAATGACATTATCACGGACAGTGTCGACTCCCGAGCTCATATTGTATCATTCTACTAAAAATATTATCCTCATGACTTCAACTTATCTGTTTAGCAATTAAGGATTTCGTTTAAATGTCAGAGCGTTTCTTGGTATGCTGCTAACACTGTACTGTACTTGGAGATTCTTGAAATTAAGATTCTCAAATTGCATATGTACTGAAAATTCTTCCGCCTTAAATTACGGCGAGAATTTATCGACCGAATTTACTTGATCGTAAAATATAAACTTAACATAAAATTTGCTATAGGATTTAAGAATACTGATATTAATTCTATAAATCCTTCACTCATAAAATATAACAGAGTTTATTTTAACCTGTATATATGGACTAATATTGCCTCCGCGGTATACCCTCAAACTCTTTCTGCTCATCTCCTCTCATTCTCCACTCCTTTAGGTTTTGATCGTGATTCTTTTTAAAGCGTTGCTTCTTTGTTACGTGAATATAGTCTCTGTAATAATAAGTCTCTAATTTGCCTATATTCATTTTCTTTCATATATTTAGAAAAGATAAATATCATATTCAATTATGAGTCACAACTAATATTATATAAATATATCTATAATTACTTTGACTTCATTTTGTCTTTAGATAAAAGAGAGAAAGAGACAAAAGAGCACACAAAATATTTGTGCCAGCTATGGTTGAGACTTGAGAAGATGTAAAATATTAGTTCAAACCTATTAGAAAAACCAAACCAAACCAATTACAATCGGTTTGATTTGGATTGGATTAGATCTTTAATTGGTTTAGATTGGATTAGATCTTTAATTAGTTTGGTTTGATTTGAAAATCTCTAAACCAACTTATAATTGGTTTGATTTACATTTCACGTAAAATAAACGGTTTGGTCCGTTTGCACACCCCTAGTTATGCATAGAGGAAACCTTGTTACATCTTCCTTTTTCTTCAATGACAAGCAAAAGTGAACGTACGTATTATTTTGTAATTGAGACCTTTGAGAGCCAATGTTGATTTGATACTCCATTTTAATCTCCCCATCTTCATTTCATAGGCCTAGCCTTGTTTGGACTAATTCCAACAAATCTTTGTACTTTGCATTTAAGGAAACCACGATCCCTGTTAACTTGTAGTCGACATGGTTTTTCTTTTTGTTACAGCTTCCATCATAATATATGAACAGATTAATTTTTTCCATCTATTCAAAAAAAAAAAAAAATTTAGTTATTATAATCTCCATATTATTACCCAATAATCTGTCAAACTATGATCAATAGTACGACAGATTATGCTTGATAATCAGCATTTCATAGATTATTGTCCATAGTCTGCCAAACTATGATCAATAGTCTGGCAGATTATGACTGACAATAAGCATTTCACATTCAGCAAGATAATTTGTCAGTTCTTTTTTGTAGGTTATGCAGATTAATGCTCATAGTCTGCCAAACTATTACACATAATCTGACAGATTAGACCTTATAATCTGTGTAAATAGATTCATTTAGGCAACAACATGAGCAATAGCAATGTCAATATAAACTATAGGACTATATGTAATTTGATCATGCATAATAATCAATAAACTAATTCAAATAAATTAGTTATCAGATTATAATACAGTTTATGCACATTTTATTTACCTTTAATGTATCTGTAAATTGGCCGAGCTTCTTCGAAGCTGCGCAAAGGAGGATGACGAAGGACTTCTTCGAATCTGTATGAAGTAGTCGGAAATCGAAACTCCAACTGCGATCTACACAGAGTCGCCGAGATCCGCGATTTTGGCCAGAGTATCGCCGAGATCCGCGATCCACACAAAAATTCAGCGGCAGAGCTTCGCGAAGGAGATCCTTCACGAGTTCTTCGAGTTCTTTGCTTGCATGTAGGAATGCTATGGAGAAGCGTCGTCGGATAAGGGAACTGACGTTGGCGGCATCCAATTTGCGTTGCACGAATGAGGGCATGAAGAACTAGAGAGAGAAAAAGTAGAGTGAGTATGGAAGATCGACGTTCTAGAGAGTATAGAGAATCAAATATTTCTGATAAAAGAAACTTTGAATAACAGATTCAAAGATAAATTCGGGTTTTTCAAATATTTTTTAATTAATTAATTTTTTATTAGTTTCTAAAAGGGGTAGAAATTAAAAGACTAATATTTGGAGGTTAATAATAATTTGTTGATCCATTTTGAGGGATAATTAGTTTTTTCTCTATTTGTTATGCAAACAAAATCCGAGTATAGATTTAAAATGCTGTTTAGGTCTTCAATATATGCTCTGTTTTTTTTTTTTTTTTTTTTTTTTTTTTTTAGCAACGAACTGCAAATAAAAGTCCTCGTTCTTGGTTTGAAAGTTGATTCAAGAAAAAAAAAAAAAATTCATAAAAATATATAGAACACTTGAATTGAGAACGTTTGGTTAGAGAATTCAAATTATGTGATTTGAACCATTTTCAATTTACGTGAATTTTTTAAAACGAATCCCTCTACAAAAAAATCTCATAAATCTCTAATTAACTAGTAAAGGCACATTATCTTTCACCAAAAAAGAAAAAAGTAGAGGCATATGGCACATAACTTTCTATCTTTCAGTACTCCACGTTCTTACAATGGTTGTTGAAATGCATAAAGCTCGACATATCTTAAAAAATAGTATATAAAAGAAATAAAACAAATTATTGTAAAACTAAAATAAAAACTCAGATAATGAGGATATTCACTTAAAAAAAATTAAAGATGCAATCATTAGGGAAAAAAAAAAAAACAAAAGAAGCAATCATAACTATACACAGAATTTAAATCTTAGCGCAGAGTAGCTTATTCCACTGACATTTAAAGTAACGAACGAACTCACATTGGGGAAAAATACAATTAGAAAAATGTAAGGGGTAGATCTGTAAGACCAGTTTTCTTTCTTTCACTTTTTGCTATTTCTTTTTTTCCTTTTTTTTTTTTTTCCTATTTTCTTTCCTTTGTAATGAATCAGCCGTCAACTCAGAGAGAAGAAGCTCTTTTGTGATATCCGTCACAAGTAGGAATCAAGATATCCATATGTATGCCTTCTGTTATACTGTAGTAAGCTTGCGTAAGTCCGATCCCATATTCCTATATAGAGAGACTCGTCGTCCGGACTCAGCGACACCCCAGATATCTCTCCAAAGAAATCAATCTCTTGACGCTTTTTGTAATCGGCCTTGGTACTATAAACGTGCACGAAATCTGCAGGTTCAGCCACCACCATAAACTGGCCGTCCGCAGAAAAGCGAATAGACCGTGTAGCACCCAAGTTACCCTTGAGAACCGCAATGGGTTTCGATAGGTTTCTTATGTCCCATACTCGGCATGTCTTATCCTGATTCCCCGTAGCAAATGTGCGTCCATCCGGGTGCCATGCTGAGGCAAACGAGTAATCTAGATGACCAACTACTGTGGCAACAGTCTGCAAATGCAAAATCAATCATTTTAAGAAGCAAAATTAAAACAAAAGGATAACATATACAAAAATTTAGCTTCTCTAAAGAAAAAAAAGGCAGGACGAGGAGTAAGGGGGCTAGAGAAATTGAGGGAGAGGATTAAGGAGAAAAAAAAAAGTCATTCTCGTTCAGATACATATTTTGGAAAATATTACCTTTCCACTTTGTGAATCTACAAGTAGTCCATTAACATGATCTCCAACAATGGCAACAAGCCTGCGGTCAGGACTAACTGATGTGTGCTGCAATAGAAATCCAGGTATTAGTCTCTGACCAAAGTGTGCTGCAATAGAAATCCAGGTATTAGTCTCCCTCACAAAAAAAAAAAAAAAAAAAAAAAAAAAAAAGCAAATGGCAAACATAGAAGCTTTCCGATGCATCGTGAGGTTAGTTATCGCAGATAAAAAAACAAACCCCCGCCTGAAAAACCCCCATCTCAGTTGACATTTTAACATGGCAAGCTATCAGTATTGCCAGAATACTCTCAATCTCTCAAAACAATAGAAATTACTCAAATTAGGCTGTAGGCCTTTTTTTCAAAGTACTAGTGGTAGAAGTTAAATATATATATAATCACGGCAAAGAAGCAAGATGACGATATCATTATAAAATGCTAAAGTAGAGGGCTCACATTCACAGGCCAAGGAAAACGGATGTGATTCAGAAGCTGGAATCTCTCCATATCGTATTCTCTTACACCACAATCATTGTTAGATGCAATGAAATGGATTCCACCCCTGCAAAGAAATTTGCGTCAAACTGCTTCCTAACAAAAACCGTCAAACAATATATTTATAGTTCATATATAATACCTCGCTAACACACCCAGACATATATACATATATCAATCTCAACAGTTTCAAAATGTAATGATACCTCAAGCTGTCATATATTTCAACAGCATTAGTGATAGCGTTATCATCATATGTGGTCCGGGTACAAAAACTTACTCCTTGTTTATCCAGTCGCTGCAAAAATAGGCAAATGATAAGAGGAAAATTCTTTGATGTTACCAAAAGCAAGGCATGTTATCAGAAAAAGCAGTTGGACACCATTCGTTTGCTCCAGATCAGTAATTCAGAATATTATAGACAACCAGAGAGACAACCACCAAAGAGAAACATACTTAGGCACACAGGATAGCAGATACAGAAACTATGAACGCACAAAGACAGATTATCCATGTTAATATACCCTTACTAAGGGAAATCATCCACTGAATTCCTCTTTCTGGGATTTGTCTAGTTTATTCACGCCTTTTTCTAGATCGTTGATGCACTGAATAGGATCATATGATTGACATAATAGCCTCTGCACTAATCTCATAGTTATCATAACAATAGCACCACAGCCTAAATATGCTAATAAGTGGGAGTTTGCCACACCATATCATATCTCTAGAAGAATCACTGGCAAGCAATCATTGGAAGTTGAAAACTCCAACCACTTAAAAGGGGTCAGAAATAGTGCCTAAGGTTTTGAGAAGGAGACGTTTTTGGCTTCTTTTTCAGCCTCAATGAATAAAGCCTTTTAACGATTTTTCTTTTCTTCAATTGTTTGGAGTAGGCTGTTATGTGAGGCCAATTGTCATCTATTTTATAAGGATCTTTGTTTTCAGGTATTTTTATGTCTTGCGTTCTGAGAACTCCTTGTATTCTTTTCCGCTATACTAAATATCATTATCCATGGAAAGAAGTTTACTTTTCTCTAAGGAAAAAAAATAGTGCCCAAGGTTTTCAAGTTTACGTACGAACTCTAGCGAAGGCTACAACACTAGCAGTCAGGAAAAATAAAACAAAGTTAATTAGAGAGCGGGAAAGATTTACATGGTTTTTGGCAAGATTGTGTCTTTATAGGACAGCATTATTACTCTACCCAGAATGCCTAGCACACCTGCCTCCCTCATTTCCTTTACATTGCCTACCATCAACTACAGTCTACATCATTTGAACACTCATATAAGAAGTCAGCCTCAAAGCTTAGTAATGGCGCCCTATAGATCAAAGATACAATGTGTTTGCAGCACATTAATGAAAAAGCAATTCACTCTATTCGTAGCTACTAAATATGATGTCTCTTTGGTGTACAAGGCAGCTAAGAGGAATGAGAACATGGTAAAGCAATTTCCTTCAAAGAAAACAACAAGATAAACATGACTAATATGAGATAGCTACTACATGCAACTGATATAGCTATTACATGCAACTAAAATTTATGCCACATTATTAAAGCTCCTACTTAGCTTAAATTCAAGTTAGCTACTCATAAAGATATATTGTCTCCATACCATCATTGCATAAAAACAAGCGGCCTTCTACCCTAAGGCACTTATACGAACTCCCAAGTTAATGAGCAATTTCATATCTTCTAGTTGACTGCCAACTAGTTACTACAGTTTGTTGCTTAAATAGCTTCTTGAACAAAAAGTGGAACTGCATTGCTCCAAAATAAGGTGCATGAGGCCAAATTTGTGCTGCTCAAAGTAGCACATTTCTCTTTGCGTTTTACAACAGAATAGGCTCTCCCTCACAGTGATATTTCTAGTTGATTTCGTAAGTATTAGGTTGACATGAAATTGCTGAGAAAAAATCAAACCCCAAAATAATCAGAACCAATCCAGAAAAGTGGCCGCTGCAAACAAGGGCGGCAGGAGAAGATACTCCTTGAGGTATTAGTTGGTCAAATTCAACCCACGGTTGAGATTAGTTGCAATGGCTTAAACCAACGAAACTGTATGAAACACGAACAATTTTAGAGGCATATATGGTCCTGAAAAGCAAATTTCTTCATGTTTCAAATTCCTTTTTTTGTTGACACCTATGAAAGATTGCATCTTAGTGTTGGGCCACCATAGCACCTATAAGTTGTTGAAAAAGTTTGACCCCTATCACACTCACACTGCAGTAATGTGAGTACACCATTTCGCAAATGATCATTTATCCTGTCCTATTCAGTGCTAAATAGCACCACTCCGAGTAGCTTTACCAAGAAGCAATTTCTGCCACATAAGAATACACTGTAACAAAGTGGCAACACCAAACTTTTACGTCGACTCTTTGAACAAACATATATTTCTACGTGATGCACACGCATTCATTTGCTACAGGCATCGATGAACTAGTTCTCTTTAGATTTCACAAATGACCAAAATAACCAAAAGAACAATATACTAAAAAAGCCGGTAAAAGATAAACAAACCTTACAAATAAGCTCTCCTTGGAAGCCACCAGCAACCAGAAAATTATCCTTGACTGCCAGTGTACTAATCTGAGTCTGGGAAAACCCTTCCAATAAACTTCCTGCATGCTTCTACATGACCAATAAATTTAAAAAAGTGAAAATTAAATATGAATAATGGATTGGGCTCTCGCCTGTACTAAGAGGTATAAAGGGCAAAATAGTAAAAAAGTAAAACGATGGAAAAGGGAAAAAAAATTGTGCCCTCTCTTCTTTTTTATCATGAGAGGTAGAGAGAGAGTTGCAATACCTCAGTAGGTGCTACATGACCTGCAAAGTTGAGGATTTCCGACAAATTTCCCGTTAGTGAGGACCAGTGCATAACTGAATAATTGGAGATGAGATACACATCATGTTTCGAAGTAGCCCAAACCAAGTTCCTGAGCTGCATGTCAAATGTGCTACAGAATCAGCTGAGCAAAGTTTGTTTTTTTTAAATCATAAATTTCAAATCAAGTATTTGAAAGGACATGTCAACGTAATCCGCAGTTACTAGCTTACTTGTGTGCAAAAACAACACCTTCATAGGTGTAAATAGAAAAATATTAACAGTTAGGCATTTGTTAGAATATGCCAACCTGAAAATGGAGGATTGTTGGTTTAACCAATCTTGTATTGTAGAAGAATTCATAGTAGTTGCCACCCTTCTCCATTTGTTTACACTCCTGAAAGACAAAAATCAATGCTAACTACATTTACTTACCAGAACACATTATAAACTAAACTTTGCCCACCTCTTAAAAAAAACAAAATAAAATAAATTAACAAGAAATAAACGACTCTAGTGTGATAAACAATGATCAAACCTTATCTACAGCTTCCCCAGATAAAGGGATATTCTCATAGTTCCGATACTGTTCAAGCCTCGTTAATCTGTAATTTTCCCTCGTTATGTTTAATCTGTCCCAAGGAATACCTTGAATGTCTTTTCCCTTTCTTGCTTGAGAAGATGAGGTATCTGTCACTTTAGTAAGCTGTTCATAATCACGCCCAGGTCATGTGAGTTCTTTGAGTACAAGCATTAAGACACAACTACAAACCGAAATAAGAAATGCAATCCACAAACCATTTCGTATTCATCAATACCGACATCTGCATTGTTGTCTTCCTCATCCATCTCGTCAAGGAAATTAGCTACTTCACCCTCCTCAGCCATGTAATCAAAATCATATGCCTGCTGATCGGACATGCTCTATCTGCATGCAAGGCGTGAATTCACAATAAGCTCAGTACACTTTATTTACTGCCATCTCCAAAAGCCTTTGATTTTCTAGTAAAATAGATTTATCAATGTGATGTGAGAATACAAAGTTTTCTCCTTTTTTTATATAGGAAACATGAAAGAATACCAATTTGAAATTACAAGTTCAGGATTAGTAAATATACCTAATGAAATCAAAAAGCAAAGCAAAGCAAACCAAACCAGACCATCATGTGGGGCTCTTATAGATATTCAAAAGTTAACAAAAAAAAAATCCCATAAACAGGAATTATGAGAAAACACTCAAGAAATCCCTTGCCAACAACTTTGCATATATAACACAATACACTCAATATTGCACATTGAAAAAGAAATGAATTGAGCAAATAATCTGAAGAAATGTAATTAAACTGAGAAAGCGAAATACTAATACCAAAGTTTGGTAGAAAGCAGCAAACAATAACAATAAATAAACAAAAAAAGGAAAAAAAAAATGACATCTAGAGCCTAACTCAACAAAAATAAAATAAAATAAATCTACAGACAAATATTCGCAAAGCATTATCCGAAAAGGCAAAAACAAATAACGTTTGCGTATCCGAACAGAAAGAAACCCTAAAAAACAAAAAAAAAATGGCGAATAAAGAATCGAAAGCGAAAGGATTGAAAAAAAAAATCCCACAATAACCACCCAAGAGAATAGAGAAAATAATTGTGTCGTACATAGACGAGAAAGCGAACATATATAGTCGAAAAACGGAAACTAACCCAGAATTCTTCCTCCTCTTGTGTGAAAATTTCAAAAAGAAAAGGAAAAGGGAAAAAAAGAGAAGGAAAAAGGAAAGGGCGATTGATTGACGTTGAGATTCAAGTATGCGCGTGTGTGGGACAGTAGTGTGGGGTGGGGGTATAAATGAAAAGAAAAGATAATAATAATTACGATAAGTGGGGGTTTTTGAGGTGTGAAATCAAATGTGATTTTACGCAATGTCAGCAAGTCTCCTTTATTTATTATTACGCCCCTCTAATTTTGTTTGGGGAAATACGTCCAACAGTTTGTGCGCGATATAATGAGCTCGTTTAGTTCGTTGATTCGAGTTTTTAATTTAAATTGATATGTAATTTTATTTGAGAGTTTTTTACTGTAGCAAAAAAGTTAAATGTGATTATTTATAAGAGATTTTTACTATAATAAAACTCAAATTAGCGAAATAAATGGAGACCTGTGTTTGGAGAAGAAAGACAAAAAGAGAGAAAAAAGATAAGGCTCAAAGAGAGCAAATGCAAATAAGGACATTTGGGAAGAATGCCAAAAGAGTGTGGGTTTAATTATAAAAAAAAAAAAACAGAGAAAGTGTGTGTTTTTGTGGGCCCTATTTGGACAATGTTTATCAATAATACTGGTTCCTCGAAATCTATCTAATAATTATCTGTCTGAAATTTCTTCGATTCCTTCGCAACACTGTGAGATCTGGAGAGGGACTTACGGCGACATTGTATCACCCTCTTAAAGGAGAGTGTTCTTGCCATATTAATAACAAGGTTGGCTTCCTAGAGATAAGATTTCAGGATGTATTTCTGAATTAACTACCCAAAGGTAGCAATCCTGAGTTAAATCTATGGGATCTGAAACGGTGGGTTACACTTATAAAATATAATCAAATTTGTTGGTTATATTTTGACCAAAATAACGGTAGTTAATAAATATAAAAATAGGAGATATTTTGACTATATTTATTAACTGAGAAGAGTATCGGTCTAATTTGCATATAATTTGACTAACCAAAGGTACACTTTATTTGTGAAAAATTGGATTATCGTTAGCACCTAAAATTAAAACATGACTTATGTATTTTTCATGTGCATCATGCAACATATTTAATTGTGCCAAAAATTCACATGCCTTGATATTCATGCACATAAATTACTTAGATGAATATTCTACTTATTTCTAATATGTCAAATCTTATAATCTCACTACATGAAACTGAAACACTGACTAGAGATAAACTATGCGAAGTGGTAAAGTAACATAAACAACTCGCATTCATGTGATGAATATAAGTTTGTCCCAAATGGAGGATTGTCCTCATGTCCCTAACAAAATCACATTAGCTAACTGTTAGCTAGAGTTGTGCATGGTAATTCACAAGAAATATGAAGGCATGGAAACAACTTATGAGATAATGTCGTAATCATATACCGTATATGGGAATCCATATAAGAAAGGCTTGGCTAAATACTGTAAGGGCCTTGACCAAAAGACAAAAGGAAAGACGTTTCCACCAAAATAAAGGAAAATAATAAAGCGAATATGATTTGTTAGTTCGAAAAACATGTTTACTAAAGGGTGACTCCTATTCCTGGATAGTAGATTCGGGAGTTACTACTCATGTTTATTTTCTTTATTAAGTCTTGGTTGTCACAAGGACAGTCATTTCCATCGAAACAAAGAAAGGAACTCAAGCAAATATGATTTGCTAGTTCTAAAAATATGTTTTAGTAAAAGGGTGATACCTTATCATGGATAGTAGATTTGGCAATAACTAATCATGTTTGTTTTCTTTAAGTCTCAGCTCTTACAAGGAAATTATTTCTCGAAACAAAGAAAGGAACTCAAGCAAATATGATTTGCTAGTTCTAAAAACATCTTTTAGTAAAAGGGTGATACCTTATCCTGAATAGTAGATTCGGGAATAACTAATCATGTTCGTTTTCTTTATTAAGTTTTAGCCCTTAAATGGAAATTGTTTCCACCTAAACAAAGAAGAAGAATCAAAGTAAATAAGATTTACTAATTCTAGAAACATGTTTAGTAGAGGGTGATTTCTCGTCTTGGATAGTTGATTCAGGAGCAACTAATAATGTTTGGGTTTCTTTACAAAATATTAGTTCTTACGAAGAACTTGCTGTCAAGGACTACACGATGAAAGTGGAAAAACCGCGAGGGTACCGGCAAAAGTAGTGGGAGAAGTTAGACTTTAGTTTTGAAAATATCTTGTTGTGAACAAAGTTTATTTCCCTCCAAGCTTAAAGAGAAATTTGATTTCTAATTCCAAATTATTTGAACAATTGCCTTTAATAATATTCTAGTCCACATTTTTCAGAGTGGTTTCGATATATGTTTTGGATATTATGGAAAACGGTTTATACCGTTTAAACTAATGCCTGTCTCACTACGTAATGTTGAAATGTTCAACAGTTGTCGAACCTAAGAATAATAAGCAAAAGATTTCTCATGATAATAACACATATCTGTGGCATCTTAGGCTTGATCATATTAACCTAAACACGATTGAAAGACTGGTGAAGGATGGTCCTTTACACGAACTAAAAGTTAATAAGCTTCTAGTTTGTGAATGTTATCTAGAAGGTAAATTGACTAAGAGACCTTTTCACAGTGAAAGGAGAAAGAGCTATAGAACCCCTTCAGCTAATATATTCGGATGTAGATGGACTGTTAAATGTCCAAGCTAGAGATGGTTACAAATATTATGTTACCTTTATTGATGACTATTCGATATATGGTTATGTTTACCTAATGCAATGAAAATCTGAAACTTTTAGAAAGTTTAAAGAGTTCCGAGCAGAAGTTGAAAAATAATTAGGTAAATCAATCAAGACACTTCGATCAGATTGAGGAGAAGAATACCTAGACTAAGAGTTCTGGGATTTCTTGATTGAAGAAGGTGTGTTATCCTAATTGACTGCACCTGGTACACCACAACAGAGTGGTATAGCCGAAAGGGGAAATCAGACTTTGCTTGACATGATAAGATCAATGTTGAGTTATTCTATACTTCCTACTTCATTTTGGGGTTATGCCCTAAGAACCCGTGTATATTCTGAATCTACCACCATCTATATATGTATGAAAGACACCTCTAGAGTTGTGGAATGGTCGAAAGTCAGTTTTGAAGCATATTCACATATGGGCGTGTCCGGCTCATGTGATGAAACAATAGACTGAGAAGTTAGAACCAAGATCAGAAATATGCATATTTGTGGGATATGCAATGGGGACAAGTGGAGGATTATTTTATATAGTTACAAGATCATAAATATGCATATTTGTTAGAACCATGATTCCTAATTAAACTCCTGTGGCACCTCGTCGTAGTAGAAGGGTAAGCAAGTTACCTGACCGGTATACCGGAGAGGCCCAGATAGTCACTGCTGGTGACGGTAAGGAGGATCTATTGACCTTTAAGGCTTCAATGGATGATTCTAATAAAGAGAAATGGCAAGCAACTATGAAACTCGAGATGGAGTCAATGTACTCCAACTTAGTCTGGCAATATGTGGATCTACCTGTAGGGGTAAAACCCACTGGATGCAAGTGGATCTTCAAGAGAAAGAGAGGAGCGGATGGAAAAGTAGAGACTTGTAAAGCAAGGCTAGTAGCTAAGGGTTATACCTAGAAATAGGGAGTTGACTTTGAGGAAACTCTCTTATCGAAAGCCATGCTTAAGTCCATCCGGATACTCTTGGCCATATGAGCATATTTTGAATATGAGATATGGAAGATGGATGGCAAGACAGCTTTTCTAAATGGCTATCTTGAAGAAACCATCTATATTGATCAGTCAGAGGGTTACATAAAGGAAGGCCAAGAGCAGAAAGTCTGCAAGCTGCCGAGATCCATTTATGGATTGAAGCAAGCTACTAGATCATGGAACATCAGGTTTGATAAGGCTATTAAGTCTTATGGATTTGATCAAAACCATGATGTATCAAACAAAAGAAAAGAAGATGTTCTTATTTTTGCAAACCCGAATATATGATATTCAGTGGGAGTGGTCAGTCGTTGTCAGTTGAACTCAAGATTCGATCATTGGGTAGCGTTGTAGTGTATCCTTAAGTGTATGAGGAAAGTAAGAAACTATAAGATAGTTTAGTCAATGAAAGAGTTGTCTTTTAGCTGGATACACAGACTTTGACTATAAGTCTTGCATGGATTTCGAGAGTCGACATCCAAATCTGTGTTCACACTATGTGAAGGAGTCGTGATATGAAAGGTTGTTGGCAAAGTGTGATTGCTAATTCTATCATTAAGAGTTAATGTGTTGCAGCTTGTGAAGTAGCAAAAGAAAGCAACCTAACTCCAGAAATTCTTAACTGATCTGGAAGTTATTCCAGGCATAGATCAGTCACAGACACCTAGAAAGTTTCAGGATTGAAGACATATTCTACTATCTTTAGGACAAGTGGGAGATTGTTGGGAATGGTGTCCTAAAGCATGAGATGTAATAGGACATTTATTATTTATTTAATAAAAGAGTTTATTCATCATTTTATGTGTATATATATTTGTGAATATTTTATGAATATCAATGAAAATTCCATGATTATTTATGTGACCTTAAACGGATAATATTCAAAAAGCGATGTTCGTAATGAATTTAATTAAAGTTCATAATCTTTAATTAAAACATTATTAATACATTTCATTCCCATTTAGAATGAAACGGTGTTATCCGCACCGTTAATATGGCGAGATATTGAATTAGTGTATTTCGCATAATGAGATTATGTGAAACGGGAACAAAAACACAATATCAATTTCTAATAATTTTCGTTAAGTATAGAAATTCTAATTGAGTCTACTGATGGTTATATATAGAATGATTTTAATCCTGAGTTCTTAACAAACTCCTATTTATGAATTTGTGTCTTTTGATTTACTCGGTACGGATTCCGAGACGCTGAATCTTATTCCTTGTATTTTGGAGACATGATGAAATAGGTAGCCGGGAATGTTATTATACGATATGGAATCCATTCATTCTTGAGAAAGAAGCAGATAAATAATTCTCTTGAGTGTTGATTCGGTACTTGGACTAGTAAGAGCGCTCTGGTTCATGAATGTATTTTATGAATCACTAT